TTTTACACTCCCAGCAACAGTGAATAAGGGTTCCAGTTTCTCCACAACCTTGCCAGCATTTGTTGCTTGCTGTTCTGTTAAATTTTGCTATTCTGACTGGAGTGAGATGATATCTCATAGTGTTTTAATTTGCATCTCTCTTAGAGCTAGGAATTTTGAACATTTCTTCATGTGCCTGTTAGCCATCTGAATGTCTTCGGTGAAGTGTCTGTTCATATTGTTTCCATTTTTCTATTGGATTATTTACCTTTATCTTGTGGTGCTCAAGTATTTTATAAATTCTGGATATAAGTCCCTTTTCTGATATGTCATTACCAAATACTTTTTCCCAGTCTGTGGCTTTGTTTTTTGACCCTGTTGGAGAAGTTTTTAGATGTGCATAGGGATTTGATTCTTAGAAGATCCCTTTCATCTACTTTATCTTCTCCTGGTTGTAGGTTTTTCAGGATACTGGGAAGACTGTTTATGTTGTGGATTAGGACTTCTAGCGTTGTTCCTAGCTTTTCTTTAATGAAGTTTATAGTCCTTGGTTTTAGTCCTAGGTCCGTGATCCACTTTGAGTTGGTTTTTGTGTATGGAGTGAGGTGTGGATCTTGCTTGAGTTCTTTGGAGATACTTTTCCAATTTTGCCAACACCATTTGTTAAAAAGACTGTCATTTCTCCACTTAACTGATTTCATCTCCTTGTCAAAAATCACTTGACCATAGTTAGATAGGCTGATATCTAGGTTCCCAATTCTATTCCATTGATCTATGTATCTGTCATTGTACCAGTAGCATGCTGTCCTTACCACCACGGCAGTGTAGTAGGATTTGAAATCAGGGAGTGAGATACCTCCTACCTTTATTCTATTTTTAAGGAGTGCTTTGCTTATTCGGGGCTTCTTTCCATTCCAAACGAAACTGGAGATTGCCTTTTCCATCTTGTTGAAGAATGGGATTGGTATTTGTATTGGGATTGCATTAAACGTGTAAATTGCCTTTGGTAATATTGCCATTTTCACAATATAGAGTCTTCCTATCCATCAGCAAGGGATATTCTTCCACTTCTCAAGGTCTCTTTTTGTTTCTTGTAGTAATGTTTTTTTTTGTTTTTTGGTTTTTTTGGGGGGGGGGCAAGACAAAGATTTCTGATCAAGCCCAAATTTATTTGATGAATTCTCTGTAGTAATGTTTTGTAATTTTCTTTGAATAGATCCTTTGTGCTTCTGGTTAAATTTATTCCCAAGTATTTAATCTTGTAATTAGCTATTGTGAAGGGTATTGTTTTTCTTAGTTCTGGCTCTGTATTCTCTTTGTCACTGTAGAGAAATCCAACTGATTTTTGTGTGTTGCTCTTGTATCCTGCTACTTTTCTGAATTGGTCAACTATGTCCAATAGTTTTCTTGCTGAGTCTTTAGGGTTTTCTAAATATACTATCATGTCATCTGCAAAGAGGGATAATTTTACCTCCTCTTTGCCAATTTGTATACCTCTTATATCTTTCTCTTGTCTTATTACTATTGCTAAGACTTCCAATACAATATTGAATAAGAGAAGAGATAATGGGAATCCTTGCCTAGTTTCTGTTCTTAAAGGGAATGCCTTTAACCTCTCTCCATTGAGAACAATGGTAGCTCTCGGGTTTGCATAAATACTTTTTACTATGTTTAAGAAATTCCCCTCTAATCCTATTTTGTTGAGTGTTTTAATCAGGAAAGGGTGTTGAATTTTGCCTTTTCTGCATCAATTGATAGGATCATGTGGTTCTTGTTCTTTGCTTTGTTAATGTGATGAATGACATTAATTGTTTACATCATTTTCTTGTCTTTCACCTCTTGCGCTTTTCTCTTCTCTTTACTTCACTTACATATTTACTCACTTATGCTGATCTGCCTTAGAGTGAGTTGCAGACAACGGACTCTCCGCCCAGAAATGCCTGAGCATGTTCCTGTTAAGGACATTCTCCTAATCTCCTTCCCACCCTCCTTTTCCCAGCTACTCCTTCCCATGAATATCATTACCTCCCATCAATATTATTACCAAATCCTCCCATCAGTATAATTACCACATTTTAAAAAATGAATTAATTTAATGGAATAAATTGAAATGTTATACGGTGTTAGCTCATGTGTTGTTCATATTAAAATTTTTCAATTGTCCCAATCTTTTCTCATTTTTTAAATGTAATAAAATCATATTAGGTTTATTTATGCATATACTTTGATTTAATATCATCAATTATAATTCATTGGTGTAATTACAGACTTAATGTACATTGCCTTTCCCTTCATCGAGGTAATCTATTAAATTTTGATCCTCTCTACCACCCTTCCCATCCTTGTTAATCCTCCAAGATTGCATCTGTGTATAAACCTTTCCTTAGCATTTTAAGTTAATGGTTATAATTGTCCTTTTGTGATGGACTTGTGTCACTCAGCATAGTTTGTTCTAGATGCATCCATTTTGTTCAGTATAATACTCTGTTGGTTACACTGTTTTTGATGGCATGTTCCATTACAGCTACCTTATGGGTTTTAAACTAGGTTAATATTTAGGAGCAAGAGTCTTCTAATGCAGTAGCTTCTAGATAACTCAGGAAACACTTAGAACTGAAAAAAGAAATTATTTTATTTGAAAACAAAAAGCTTAAATGTTAGTGTCAGGAATCCCAGGAAAGTTTAAAACATTGTCTTTTTCATTATCTCTTTTAAATTTATACAGCTAAAGTATTAAAAAAATAAGAGGCTGTATTGTTGTGAATATACATTCAGTAGTTTCTACATGTCCAGTGCCATGACATTAGTTACAGTCTTCTAATTTTGCAACTTTTTTCATCCTCCTTTTCCCAATTACTTCTCCTCCATTAACATAAACATACTGCCCCCTAAGGTTTCTATTTGATTTTTAAAAAAATTTTTTATAATTTTTTTGTTTGTGTATACCGTCAAATTGGATGTGACAGGTACAGGAGGGGATTGTCCCTCCTTCTCCATCAAAGCATCTAGTGGATTTGAACCACTTACGCTGGAATTGCAGTGCAGCTTCTTGCCACTAGGCCACCAGAGCTCCCATATGTGGTTCTTTTTTTTTCATATGTAGTTCTTAAAAGAACATATTGCTCAAGGCAGACATTTTTCACTAATTAAATGAAACTACTGTTTTTCAGAGAGTGTCAGGAGATACTCTCAGTTTGATTTTAAAGATTTTTCTCAGAGCAATATTTTCAGAATCCAGAGTCTGGATTTCATAAGAATTTTAAATTCTGTTCTGTATTTTTTTTAAAAAAAAATAAAGATTTTTCTATAGCATAATGATAGCCAGGCATTTTCCAGTTCTTCTATTGTGTTATGTGCTGTCGAGTCAGAGATGACTTCTAAAACACAGGAGGGGTTTGCCTATCTTTCTTCAAAAAGAAAAAAAAAAATTCCAACTACCTGTCTTTGGGTTGGCAGCACTGTTTCTTTTTCTTTTTTTTTATTATTTATGACCTTTATTAACAGGTGCTTGCAGTTTTGTTGACTTTTTTTGAAAAAATCAAGTTGTAAACTTTTATTAGGCAGCACTGTTTCTTACCACTAGGCTACCAGAGCTCCCTACATTTCTGCTAGTATTAGGAAAGAGGGAAAAGTTGTTACTGAAGGCAATTACATATTCCATATCCTCCTCTTATTCCTGACTGTCCTCCTTTGGCTCCAAGCAAATAAAGACCAATTGTCATCCCTTAGATAGCTGCTTGCAAGCTTTTAAAACTCCAGGTACTGAGTATAATGAGTTAAGATCTAGAACAGAAGCATTAAACGCCTTGTTAGGTCAATTAACTGGGATGTCGCCTGAAACTGTGATTCTGAGCTCCAAACCAAGAAAAAAAATCCTGTGAGGTTTTTGATTGTGCCTCAGTACCTCTTCTTCTTTTTTTTTAATCAGTTGTTATTGTAGTTCACAATTAAATTCTTCTTTCTCTTTCTCCCTCCTGTCTCTGGCATCTACTAATAAACTTCAGTCTGCATATTTGCCTGTTCTTGCCTTTTTAAAAGTGAAGTGATACATTCTTTTCTCATTTGTAATTATTTCACTCGGCATTGTATCAAGACTTCCTTTCTCCCACTGACTGAGTAATGGTAGGGACTCTTTTTGAGGTTCTTAGATGGCCCAAGCATTTGCACTCAGCCCATCCAGTGACCTGTGGCAGAAAAGCCTGGTGACCCACTTCCATGTACATTACAGCCAAGAGAACCCTGTGCGGCAGTTTGGCTCAGTTACACACAGAGTCTCTGGTGAAATCAGTAGCAGCAGGGTTGGCAGGTTTTTGAGTTGCACTCCTTAGATCACACCCCAACACAGCTTGGTGTCAGGGGTTTCGGGCAAATATGAATGAACACAGCTGAAACTAGCTTTCTATAGATGGCATTTCCCACTGGGTGTGGCAAGATAGTATTTCAAGTCAAAAGGCACGCTTTATATGTGTGTTTGGTTTTACGTTAGTTAAGCTCAATTTTTCAAGTAATCGGGGTGGTTTTTTGGGGTTTTTTTTTGATAGGCATAAGACATTCTCTGTCTACAAAGAAGCACACTTTCTCAGTCATGCTGTCTTATTTATTGTTATTGCTCCCTAGCTGGCACAGTGATGTTTGAGTATGGAATGCGGCTGGGCAGAGAGGTTCGGACTCTCCGGGGACTTGAGAAGCAAGGCAGTTGTTACCTGGCTGCTCTCAATTGTTTACGACTCATTCGGCCAGAATATGCGTGGATTGTGCAGCCAGCGTCGGGTGCAGTGGTAGGAAAACTTTCCATCCTCAAACTTGAAGATCATTTTATGTATTCTGTTTGCTTTTCAGAACTATTACCTCATTTGCCTCATTCCATTTAAAATTGCTATTGGCCTCTGTGAACGTAATCTGTTTTGAACAGATGTATAATCATTATTCCTTTAGTTCTCAAAGTCCGAATTATCTAAGGAAGAAGGTTTGCATGGTAGTTTCGAAATTAGACATGACTTGGACAAGTTCTATAATATTATGAAGTCCAGTTAGCCTCTGCATAAAATAAGGATGATGACATCTCCCTCACAGCATTGTTTTGAGGATTAAAGGAAGTGATTATGTAAATTAGTTACGATCTCAGGGCCTGGCACACAGAAAAGCCAAAACTTAAACACATAGTAGCCATCGAGTCAAGTTTCACATTGTGTGTCAAGAGTGGAACTGTGCTCATGAGAATTTCAGAGGCTCCTCTGTCAGAAAATCAATAAACTTTCTTCTGAGTCACCCTTAGGTGGACTTTGAACCTGTAGCCTTTAGGTTGGCAACCACGAATTTAACCATTTTCAGCAGGTGCTGCACAGAAAGTGCTCAAGAAATGTTGGGTGTGTTTGTTTCAGTCATATTTGTTAATTTAACCTGTAATTATTAGGGGAATTTTTTTTGAAGTAGTGTTTTGTTGTTTTCCTGTTTCATATTTCCCCCGTAATTGTGTTTCATCAGCCTTTTACTCTAGTTTGAAAGTAGGAACCTGAGCCCTTGTGGAGCAGTGGTCAGACACTCAGCTGCCAACTACAAGGTTACCTGTTCAGCACGAGAAAAATATGGTAGTCTATGTCTGTAATTATTACAGCCTTGGAAGCCACTGTTGGGCTGTGCTGCTTCTTCCCCTAGGGTACTTATGAGCCAGAATTTACCCAGCATCAGTTTCTTTGTTTTATGAAAGGGTTTAGCACTATCTGATAGAAAAAGAGTAGAAATAAAACAAAAGCCCTCAATGCATA